CTGGTAGAAATGATGCTGATAAAATTTACCGCAATTAAAAAGATAATGAAACAGCCATCAGGACTTATACCAATATTACTGACCAGCAAGTTTCCCAGAATCAGTAAACTTCTATGGAAAATTAATTTCATGGTTGTCTGCTCTGGTAAAACCCCTTACTGAGTTGTTATAAAAAGAGAAAATTGAGATTGGCTGTGGGAATACCAAAAAGTTGATGCAGCTAAAAAGAATTGTCATGTTTACATATTTTATTGCTTTAGGGCCCACACTCTCTTAAAACCTTTAGTAAGTTTGCCTTTCAGCTGACACCAGAGCTGAAAAGTATTGCCCACATGGGTCCTCAAAAAAAATTCCAGAAAGATGCATGTATACCTACAATAGGTAAGTAAATAAGTAAATAATAACTGATGATGATGATGATGATGATGATGACGATGATAATGATGAAATGATTAAGCCATTTAAAGAACAGGTAGATAAAATTTCTATGTGAGAATCTAGCCAATCATTGGCAAATCTGTATTATATTTACAGTATTATATCGGTATTCTCCAATATTTGTGTTGGCTATAATTTACTTTACAAGTCTAAGTCTGGGTACATTCATCTAGGTTTGGAAGCTGAGTAACTTTTCAAATTCTGTAGAAAAAAAAATCTTAGAAGAAACCAAAGACATTATTTTGTTTATTTTGGGGAGCAATTTGTTTCAGGGTCAAATTTTAAAAAATTTACCTTCCAAATGATTTCATGTTTTGTTATCATGCATTTGAAAACAGCTTGGGTATGACATACCACACCTTCTGCTCTTCTAAATAAGACTGGGGAACAGATGGCTACTGACCTTTATCTCCAAACAAGTTCTGCCTGCATGCATACTATCTTATTTGTAAAAATTAATCTTCTTACCTTCCCATATTTTTCAGATTGGAACAGTTGATTCAAGAGCCTATCAGTAATCAACATAATTATTAAAAGCTCGACACACATGCATATTCTCTCATGAATTCCTGTTTAGAAAATTAACTTTTTGGTATTTTTAGCTATCAAAAACCCCAGTTAGAGATATAAAAGAATATGTTTGTAAAACTCTAAAGTGTTCTGGTATGTTTATCAGACAAACAGGCCAATCATTCAAATATCAACAAAGAAAAAACAATTTTAAATGGTCCAGGTCACACAGAAAAATTTGCCACTGCAAAAAACATGTATTGTACTCATTCTAAAGAATTCTGTAATTATTAACTAGAAAAGGAAGCCACGCTATTCATGAGAAGCATTTGTGATATACACTATTTCTTTAGCAATTAAGTATACATTTCAGGAAGATAAAACTGATGTGCTTCATAGAAAATATTTCTAAGAACTGCAAGTTTATGTCTATACGACCATAGGCACACACAGACCTAGGGCAGAATTAAGACAGTGATGACTATATGCTTTCTCAAAAGGTTACAAATTCTTTAACATATTTTTTCACTTCATTTTTATATCTTAAGTCATATATATTATATGCTGATAGGTGGCAATCTAGAGCACAAACATATATTCAACAAACTGCAGCAATAATCTATATATTTCAGAAGAGATTTTCTTAGAATTGAAATATCCAAAATTATCTCAAATTATACTTTGCATGTGAAAATCTAAGCAACATGTGGCATTTTCAAAATAATAATATAATAATAGTACAAAATAATAGTATAATAAATAATTGAAGAAAATGACTGTTCCAGATTAGTATGGTTGTTTAACAAGTTTTATGGTGAGAAAATAATTTTCCCAAATTAACAATGACTACTGTTATATAACTTGCCCCTAAAAATGGACTTAAATTTTTGCTCTCTCTATGCTGGCATATTCTTTATAAGACAAATAAGTCAGGCTAAAGGATTATCTCTTTGAAAATAAGTTTTACTGGTAGCTGTACAACTTTTTGCATAGTTGGTTTTTGTTTATTTTTTAATGATAGCATTATTATCCTGATATTTTCTACTTTAAAAGAAAGCAAATTTCAAGGTAAACATTGCAGTAGAAGATTAATCTCTTACCAGTGTGCCCAAGTATTCGATAAAGTATAATAATTTACAATAAATAACAAAGTAAAATGTTACTCACTATATGAGAATCTGTTGAAACATGTCTGTGACCTCAAAAGTAATTAAAATAATGTAGATGATAAGGTCAGAGTTTAGAATTTTACCTACATTAGTTTTCATAAAAACTGACTATAAACATTCAAATACTGTTTGAAAAAGAAAATTATAATTGTTCACCCATCCTGGCTTATGATAGCTTAAAGCAAAACTGAACAATTCAAGTGGCAGTTATCAAAAAAAAGAGGCACTAGTGTTTCCCTAAAGTATTACTAAAAAATGAATACTACTTCTTCATTAAAAGTACACAATGGTATATAGTCAAAATAGTATTTTTATGGCTAAATTTTATTTAATTGCATTTTTTAAAAATCTAACAAAAAGGGATGGGTTTTAAGACATGACTCAACACATCTATTTAATATCACATGTTTAATGCTCTGAAATACAAAATGCATGTAAATAATATATTCTAAACACTTTATTTTAAAACTTTATAAATGTAATTTATACTAAACCATTTCATAAGGGCTATACTTTACAAATAATAACTAATAATACAATTATTTGCTGATAACCAGAATTATAAAGACAGATAATAATAGAAACATGCATAATAAAGTCAATGAATTTCAGTCCTAGATGTTTGATACTTCCCAAATTCTCTCCATCAAAGTACATCTAGAGGTTTGACATGTACTTCAGCATAGCTGAGGAACTAATCCAAAGAGCCAAGAAACTAATTCTAAATTTCTTTTAAGTTACGGGGTTTTAAAATCTAATAATATACTAATCTTACTATTTTTAGATATTTGAAATACAACTTTATTCTGATTCCAAACTAAAAGGAATAGGAATGACAGTAACAAACAAGATTTCACCACTGAATATTGCGCTATCACTACAGTAGACTTATATTTGAAACTCGGTAAGGAAACAGTGTTCCAAAACAGCTAAATATGAAGGTCCAAAAAATAAAGGTATTTTTTTAACTGCCACATTCACTCCAAAGCCTGTTTATCTCCTTCAGCATCCCAAAGATTAAGCACATGTTCTGCTTAGCTCCATAATCAAGTGGCAAATATGCTGTACCACTGACATCACAGGACAGTTGCCAATGAAACTAGCCTTCTGATGCTGAGTCCAGCTCCACTTTCTCACAGGTCATCATTCTCATACCAGAGAGCAGCTGTCTGAGCAACCTCTAGATCATGCTCATATTATGTTGCCAAAGCTGGGTCGATGACAACCTCTGGTGGGGCAAGAGCAGGTACAGTGACAAATTCCAAGTTAGTGTTCAAGCGAGCCAGAGGCAGGGCTTTTCAAAGTTGTACTTATTTTGGCAGAAATGTCATAGTACTGAAGATTCTTCTCTCAGTGGAAGACAATTGATTTTGCCTTAACTTTTCTCTCCTTGATATTCACTTTGTTAACACACAAGACAATCGGGATGTTTCCACATACTTGTACCAGATCTCTATGCCATTTGGGCACATCCTTGTAAGCATTATAATGGTAAACTGGGCTTGGATGTAATAGCCATCTCTCAGTCCACCAAATCTCTCCTGACCAGCTGTATCCCATCCATTAAACTTACTAGGTCCTCTGTTGGTGTGGAACATTAGGGGATGGATCTCAACACCCAAGGTAGCTACATACTTCTCAAATTCACCAGTCAGATGTTTCACAAATGTAGTTTTTCCAGTCTCATCATCACCAACCTGTACAAGTTTGAACTAAATTTGAGGTTCTCCTTGGGTAGCAGTCGTAATGTTACTTCCAGAAGCATCTCCAGGCCTGACTGAGCTAATCTTACTATTAGTAATCAGTTATTGTGTCTTTCCCAAATCTTTGAGTAAAAATCTTCTCTAGAAGGTGTGTTTATATTAATACTATGGATTTGTTTAAGCTCTTGCTCTCACAGCACACCAAAGTCCTAGAATATGAGTACTCCTTAACAAAAAGCATATATTTGGTCTAATTTCTACTTAGACCTATCTAGGTTAAGTTGAACTACACCAAGGGCAGCAGCTATACAATAGTAGTTCTAAAATAAGAACTGTTTTTTTACTCCCAGTCTATTTCTATCTTCTATATTACGCCTTGCCCCAACAGATTTGTATTTGTGGCTACAGTTCAGGAATTATGGATTCTACTTACAGTTTTACTTAGAAACCTGTTTATAATATAGCTTACTATTAAATACATCCAGATATTATATAAAATAAAAGTAATCCCATTAACATTCTTTCCATAAGGAAAAAAATACATAAAGCAGGAAAATCATATTTATCCCTAAAAATTGTCTAGTACCTAGAAACTTCTGCAATGTTTCTAAATCTAAAAAGTAGAAAATGCAAAAGGAAACTTACTGTAATAATTGGGAGAAAATAAGAAAATATCTGATGATGAAGAAAACAAACTGACATTTATTGAAACATTATCCAATTCCAGGCACTTCAATACATACTATATGTAGATTAATCTTTTGTTCTCATTATAATCCTATCAGGTAATTATTACTAACATAAAATGGAGTCTTTGGGGATTTAAATAAAAACATGTACAAGTTAATTAGAAAGTGGCAGATACAGAATTTGAATTCAAGCCACGTGACTACAGAGTGTACTCTTAATCACCATGCTCCTTGCAAAACAAAAATGGATTGCCAAAACATGAAGATTATCCCATTATATATCATGAGTAATTAGTTCACCAACTAGAAATTATGGAAGTTTCAGGACCATTGCCACTGCCACTACTATCATGAGGTAGTCAATATGGAAACTTGGGAGATTTAGAAGAGAAAAACGATGAGAAAAGTTGGAGAGACAGAAGAAGTGGAAGTGCTAGAAGTAGCAAAGGTGATAGTAAAAAAATCAGAAGACTCAGAGGGAATGAGTTAGGATGGCAGGAAAATTAGAAGCAGTAGAGTCACGAGCATCAGACCCTGCAGCAAAAGAAACAGGGTGTGACAATTCAAAAAAAGACAAACATTTCTGCAGTGAAGGGATCCTTGTGAAGAAGGCAAACATGTGGACTGCTGGGAGGTAGAAAGAGGAGAGGGAAGAGCATAGAGGGTAACATTTAACTCCATCTATAAAGAGGATTAAAAGCAGTCAGGCAATGTGAAATCCCCATTGCAACAAGAACATTAGCGATGACTTCAACTATGCTTCTAGGGGCTGCAAGGTGGAAGGTACAGGTTTTATCCTTCCAGAAGTCAAATTAGGAAAGACAGAAATTGGGCCCCACCAAATGGAGGAGTATGTGATTTTAATTTGAATTAGCTGCCATGATTTCATAATTAGCGAATTCTCATACAAATACACATTCATGTTTTTTGTTTTTAATAATCTTGGGTAACTCTGGACCTTTTAGAGTAGGCTTCTTTAGCTTCCTAGAGTAGACATTATTCCTATGTCCACATCAGTGTCAGTTTCATATTCTAAAATACATATTTTTTGTCATGCTTCTACCTGAAATCATTTTAACGACATTAAATGCACAAATATGTGATGTCTTCCAATACACAAATATGTGATGTCTTTCCATTTAGTCCTTCCATTTCTCTTAACAATATTTTATAATTTTAATATTAATTTTATAACTTTATTAAATGTTATTCCTAAATATTTTATCTTTTTTGATACTGCTGTGAGTGGAATTGTTTTCTTAATTTCGTTTTTGAATTGTTCATTGCTAGTATACAGAAATATACTTACTTTTTGTGATTGTTTTTATATCATAACATTTCTAAGCTCATTATATCATAACATTTCTAAACTCTGATAGATTTTAGTAGATTTAGCCCAGATTACTGTAATAGTCTTCAATCTGGTCTATAGTTTTGCTTCTGTCCAATTTATTGTTCACGGTGCATCCACTGATCTTGTATATTATGTTTCTGAACTTACAGTGTCCTCATTTAGAAGTCTTCAGTCACTCTCTATTGACCTTAGGATAAAGTCTAAATTTCTCAGTGCTTTACAAGGTTTTGCTTATTCATACAGTTTTCATACAGTGTCTTCTCTCTAACTTCCAGGCTTATTTCTTGCTATTCCATTCCTTGGACTCTATGCACCAGCCATATTGATTTTTTTTCCTGGCAGAGGGATCACAGAATCACCATACTTTCTTTTTGTCCCATGCTTTTCAACATGTTGTTCCCTATATCTAGAGCATTATTTTCTTCTTCCTCTTTACATATTATATTCTCTTATTTTTTAGGGTTCTGCTCAAATAAGGTTTCCACTAACCATCAATTAGCCTTGAATATGAAATCTTGTTCCTATGCCATCACAAATCTCCTACTTAAGACTTTATTCTAATTTTTCTTTGTGTAGTTGTCTATCTTTTATAGAAAGAATTTTAGCCCTATTGTTCACTTTCATCGAATCATTCAACAGATGTTGAAGATGAATAGGACATTTGTGATATTTAGACTCAAGGAATTTACAATCTAATATGTTAACAATTAAACAATCAAAATAAATTATTACAAACTTTAAATCCATGAAAAAATTATTAGAATTGAAAACAAACATTTTTCTGTTTGGTTCAATGCTGTATATCTAGCACGAAGGATAGTCTTGTCATCTGGTATAAGTACAATAAATACTGATTGAATAATATGGAACACAGAAATGAGCAAATAATTGAGGAGACTAACAGGACACTATGAGAAGCAACAACAGAGAAACCTATAGATAGGGGATGAGGAAAAACTTATTAGGAAATATAGCATTTAATGTGAGAACTAAATAATAAAGAAGACAGCTATTGAAAAAGTGAAAGAAAGATCATTCTAACCAAAGAAATGGTTAGAATGCGCGAAATTCATGATGGATGGTGGATGGACAGATGGATGGATGGATATATATATAATAAAAAATATATAAATAAATAATAAAGAAATATTCTCTGCATTTATCAGGAATGACTCACAAACTACGTCTTAAATTCTTGAATTTGGACAAGGGGTTTAGAGACATTTAAGCAAAGTTAGACTTGTGCTTTATTATATATCATCAAGCAATAATGTCATCAAAAGGATGATATTAGGCTCGCACTCCATCCTCATAAATAGGTCTAAAATATGGTGTTTTAACCAAATTTATCTTGTTTTCTTCTGGCTTAGAGTCCATCGGTGATTCTCAGTGTCTTGTCTAGCCCACACCTATCCACTTGGTTAGGGGACCAGATTCTATGTCCTGAACCAGCTGTTACTCTACTTTTGTCCATTTGAGGTTAATATCTGGAGTCTCCTCCTACAATGACCCACTCACCAAATATCTAATCATGTCTTTTCTGGCCTCAGCTAAGTCTAATTTACCATACTCTTTGGACATTATATATTAGCATCACCTGGGAGCTTGTTAGAAATTCAGATTTCCAGACCCATTGAATCATTTTCTGCATATTAAGAGAATTCCTCAGATGATGTGTACACACATTCAAGGTAGGGAAGTACTGCTCTAACTAATCTACTCCTCAAATTCCACTATAACTTCTTTTCAGCATCCTGATTCTTCTCACTGGCAGATTTATGCAAGTATCAGAGTAACGCATACTGAACCTTTCTGAATTTTGGCCTTCCTATGGATAATTTCTTTTTTTCTTTCATTAAGGAAAATTGCTATTATCATGGTTGGTGGAGGGCGTAGGGGAAAGAATTAATTCTAGGGTGTTGTTACAGAAAAAAAAAAGCACTGTTTGATGAAAGCTTGAACAACACCTGTTAATCTGGTTAGCAGTATGATCCACATCTACAGCAAATGAGGAATGATCTTATTAAAAGTAAAAGGAGGTGGGGCTGGTATAAAGCCTTCTCAACCTCATAATAGGATCACTGTAAGTACTACTTCAAAGTCTTTGATCCACTCTAAGTTCACATGAGTTGCTTAGAGGATGACCCTTTATTAGAGCAGAACCTTCAAACATCTGTCCATCATATCAACATCATAATATATTTGCCATTTATTCTTCTCTTAGAAACAAGATATTTGATAGACTTGTAGAATTCCAGATCAAACTTGTGGCCTCAGCATCTCTGGCAAGTGAACTAATTGCTCAGATGACGTGTGCTTTCAAAGATCCATTAACCACAGATGCCACTAGAGTGCCACTGACTTGTGGAATTCTGGATAATCTCTTCACCAACAGCATCTACTACAAGTAAGTTTTAAATGCCTTAGAGAAAACCCATAATCTGCTATGAACATAAATGCTTATAGTAAAGAGCCAAGTCATTAAAAACTGGTATTAGAACTCACCAGTCTAGCCTCTTATATTCATTAATCAAACTTAGAACCCTTTAGGATTTAGAGGCAATTTAAAGGAAGGAGAAGCCAGGTGACTCATGGACATCTGATTTGTTTCTCAACCATACATTATCTATCACCACTATTAACTCAAACACAACTCTGCTTGGTCCAAGGCAAGATAAAAGAACACTAAAGATTTTACAAGCTCCATTCTACAAAATAGTCTCCAGCCCCTCCCAATTCCTTCTTTCTGACCTTATCACCACATAATAATAAAGAGTGAAGAAGTAATGTTTCAGATATTTATCTTACTCGGGGGCCTTTTCCTGCCCTTTGATTTCCATAATTTACACCACCAGGAGTCATAATCAGAATCCTTACTACCTCAGGTGATAAAACCAAAGTCCTAAGTTATATAGATGGTATTACATATACCAGCTGGGGGAAGCATACAATCTTCACCTTGCCCTAATTATATTCTTGCTTATAGCATACCAAAACTGATCTTAGGTACTGTCTGAAGGGGAAATTTGTGTGTGAAAAATAGTAATCTTTATAATCAGTATGCTTAATTTCTATTAAAATTATAAATATGATTTTTTTTCTTAAAGCCCCTAAGCTCAACTTAACAAATCTTGCTATTTTATTTATAAATTTGGTAATTTGGGTTAATTAAAATTAAAAATACTCATTTTCACTTTGTCTTTGATTAGTTTATAAATCTGACAGTTTTAAGTTCCCTATACATGTATAACCATTATATTTAGATGATTAAATGCCATTAAATAATTGAAACATTAATCATAATTTTCCTAAGCAGTTAAAACACCTACAATTTAAATCATGGTTTTCCTAAGGATCAAAAATACCTTAAACATAAAAAAAATGTGCACAGATTATAACATGTTTACAAATATTATTAATGTAATAATTGAACTGAATTAGTTTGGCTTATTTATTCATCTTTATCCTTACTTTCATACTTCCACTGGGATTTTAAAATTATTGAATACTCATAGAGAGTGGAATTAACAGTACCAATTTCAACCAACTCTTATCAGCAAAAATTTAAGACTAGGAAACAATTATAAATTTGGGCTATAAATTGCAGAGCTGTAACTAGGACACAGAAACCTGGGTACTTTCTAGGATTAATTGAGTGTAAGTGGCATATAAGGGCTAATATCATTGGGGTTTTTCAAGTCCATGTTTTTTTCTCCAAATCACATATCATACATCTCCTGGATGTTCTTAGGTTTCATTTTACATAATTATTACTGTGCCTTCAATGATAAATGTTTCTTTATTCTTTAGCCTCTATCACAATTTAATATTACTTATTTTGACTTCCCAAGCCTTTTGTACTCCAAATCTGGATTACATTTTTTAACTGGTAGTGGCCACAGTTAATTGCCTATCAACTATCCCTTATACCCACCCTCATTTCTAATCGAATTTGATTTCATTCAGGAATTCATTCCAGGTAACCAGAGGAGTCTGACCCCATCTTTAAATTCAAAGGTGTTTCCTAATGAAAATAAGTCAATTACAGCAAAGGCAGATGGACACCTGAAGGCTCTTGTTAGCCACTTAGAGGCAAGCACGAGGCTAAAGTTGTCCCCAGCAGATTAAAGAGAAGAAATGGCTGCAAAATTCTTCAGTTAACTTCTGGGAGCCATCTTATGATGACTTATGATCATTGACAACCAGCCTTGTAGGGAAGCTAACACTGTGCATGACCAAATGACACGAAAAAGGCAGGGGTCCTTGGTGACATGGGTATTGGAGCTTATCCTATCTCTGAATGGTCTTTTATATTAGTTTTTTTTTTTCTTTTTTAAATAATGAGATGCAATAAAAAATCTATGTAAAATTGCAAAGATATTTTAAGTTCAGATATTTAATAATGTCTGAATGTAGTATGCACACAGTTCAAGTTGCTTACTATAAACTTTGTTCACAATAACTCACCGGAAATTTTTTTGCCCTCCCTTTAACATACTTCATATTATCTGCTCATTGCTTTGAGGAATCATCATTTTCTTTATAATGCTCAAAATGTAAGATCCACACCAGTGGACCAACTTTAAACAAGCTGCTTCATTTTTTAAACGATATCCCTTTCCACCTTTATTTTATTTTTTAAAAATATTGTTTCTCTCTGGAAACAACAAGAAGGTTCTGGATCATTCTGAAATTCCTGTCACAAGGAACTCTGGTTCCTTTTGGGTAGGACAGTATTAGGAACCAACATCTGAATGCAAATAGGTTTTTCCACATGATTAATGGTAGTTTTTTAAAAAGTGACACCTCTTATAGCCCATTTGGTAATGCAGCTAGAAAATATTTTTAAAGGTGATAAATTCATATTGATATTCCTGATGCAACTCTTTAAAAACTAAGTCTTTTAAAAAAAATTTTAGACCAAAATAAAAATATTTACAACAAGCTTACTTAGAAATATTTTAACTCCTCGCTGGAATTATACATAGAGTCCTCTTAGTTTTTAGAACCATTGTCTGTCCCATGAGACCATCAGTGAGTAGTTACTTTAATAGCAGATATTCTAAAGTGCTTATCTGTAAGGAAAGGTATAAGAATAGAAAGTTCATTTTGTAAGAAAGAGCCTTTAGCTTTAAAAAATATCAAGGAATGGGAAAGAGGGTAGATTCAAACTTTCTGGCTATGTGAGTTCATTCCTAATTTTCTGCTGTTTCAATATATAGATATCCTTATGACTAATATTAGGGTTCTGTGACCATAATTCTCACCTTAACCTACCAGTACTTAATCATACCATCTGTATAAACCCTGAAATTTAGGGGGTTCATTAATGATAAGCTGCAGGCTCATCCTGAATGTGAAATTTATAATGCAGCACTGCAGTGAAGCATCTTGACTGAAATGGATACATTTATAATGTTTCATAAAAAGCACCAGGCAGTAAGATTGTATCTTTATATGCCAGACAAATTTTTAAAGTAGCTTATGCAAACTCTTGCAATAAACAAGCTAGCAAAAGATAGTGACTTGTACTTAAAGAAAGTGAAGATCACAATATTGGAAATGTGCCCTCTATAGTATCTACTGAATACACCAGCCCAATTCCTTCCTTATAGTTTCCAAAGGACAAAAATATATATTCTGCAGAAGGAAGGGATAATTTCAGGTACTAAATCTTTCAAAGTTAATTAAAAATTATTAGAAAACGCAGTTTTTTTTCACCTTATATGACATAATCATTTACATAGCAATCTTAGGAAGTTTATAAACTCTGAAAGTGTAAGATCTAGAGTATAAAAGATCCAATGTGTAACATGTATATTGGTCATGCCGTGTTTAGCACAGCTATATTTTCTCAAAAAAAAAAAAAAAAAAAAAAAGGCCTTTACCAAAGTGATTGGACATAACATGTATTCTTGAATGTGTCCATGATCAAGATGATGCCATAGCTAGGTGTTGTCATGAGAACAGGAAGCAAAACTTTTTCACAGGGAAGATTTAACTCATCACAGCAAAGGGGATCACAAATGGAGGGGGAAAAGAATTGTTCACATCAAGAAAAAAAAATAGAGCACAAAGTATTTTACCACTAAAATAGACTAAATGAAGGAAAGTGTCAATAGGTTTTTTAAATTACTCTCAGAAGTGAGGACTTAGTTAGGCAAGGAATCCAGTATGATTCCTTCTGGATCCAACCTTTGCACTTATTTATTTGAATTCTAATAGTACATGTGATGCTTGAAGGAATAAAAATGAGGGATACTTAGAGCCTCTAATCAAAGAAGGCACTCTTGTTTTAGTTACACAGGGAAATTTACTAGCGCATGTCCCAAGAATTCTCTCCATCTTGAATGCCACAGCTTTGAATGTTTTGCTAAGGTGGGCTTTCTCAAGGCCACAAAAAGATAATGTCCTTGAGCAACACGAATAGTTTAATAGGCTTTAGAACAAGTCATATCTGGGTTCAGATCCTTACTCTGCTAACTCATTAGCTGTCGGAGTTTGATAAGACACTTAAGTCTTTGGACCTCATTTTCTAAGCATGATAATAGTGCTTGATAGTATGGTTGGGGAAAATAAAATATGTAATATGCAGAAGCAAGCGGCACACTATGTGAAGAATTAAGGCTATTTATAAAACCGATATGTAATCTGTTCAAAAATGACAGAAAAAAATCAATGTTTTTCAAGAAAGCATTTGTCATACTGCCTTAGCCATACTCTATGAAGCATATTTGGAAATTGTTAAATAAAACTATTCTCTTCAAGTTGTACCCAATTTGGATATTGAAAAAACATCAAGGAGTGTAGCACGCTCCTTATATACTTGGGATAATTGATGAGAGTCAACTAAAATAGGAATCAAGTATTCATCCTGAATTTTATCAGTATTATAAGACTGAGGTATTCTAACATGCTCTTTGATATCTGTATTAGTTATCTATTGTTGCATAACAAATTATCCCAAAACTCAGTGACTAAAAACAACATTTAATATCTAGCTTCTGAGGGTCAGAAATCTAGGTATATTATTTTAGATTTCTATAACACCATTTAGAACACACATATAAAATATGGCAAAACTCAGAACGTTTCATAAATGTCAACATTAATGTAACCGTGTGTGCTTCTGCAAAGTAGAGGAACTGAGGGAGAGTGAGCCTTTACACTTGGTCTCAGCTAACATCAGACACAAGACACCAAGAGAATTAACCACCATGGACCATGGGGCCTAATCCCATGGCTACTGTCTTAATGCTCAGTGTTGTGTGCTCTAGACTTGCAGTGAACACTCCCCAAAGCCTGTAAAACAGACTATCTCACTGCCTTTGGTATTTCCTATGAAACAATATTTTAGTTTAGGTAACGTGCCTGGGCAGTATGTATACTTTGACTTACAATAGTATA